AGCTTGACTTGCAGGGATGGACATACATGTTTGTCAAAGCCCTTCCCCCTGTGTGTACCTACAGTGGTTGAGTTCTGCGCTGACTTTCATTTTGATGGCAATGTAGTAAAGAGTTTTGTGAGAAAGTTTGAGTTGGAGTTTGATGCTGAAGAGCTTGGGCTGCTACTGAATATTTCTTCCCTGGGATTTGACAACTTTTTGAAGAAGAAATGGCTTTCAATTGACAATTATGTAGACATAGACATTATGGTTACCTGAAAGTTCTCCCAGATGTTTAAACTGGATGCTCCCCAAAAGGTGTATATGACTGACATGAAACCTTTTCACAGGCTGCTATTCCATCTTGTGAACTCTTGCATTATGCAGAGATCTGAGAGGAGGCATGAGGCCACCTTGCTTGATATCTCTATGATGGAGTTGTTGGACACAAGTAGAGCCATCAATCTCCCTAGCTTGATGATCCATCATATGACAGGGGTTGTAGATACCTCCAAGCCCAAGCATGCTATGCCATATGGGTTCATGTTAACTGAGCTATTTGACAAAATCAATATATCCTTGCCTGAGGTGAAGTTTAGGAATCACAGTGATGTACTAGATGCTATCACACTCAAGCAGTGTGGCTATGCTGACATCAAGGCTAGAGGGCCAACTGGTTCTGCTATTCTTCCTGGGAGCAGTAGGGTTGCTGAGCTCTCTAAAAGCTTGGAGTTGGCTTTAGAAGAAAATGCTAAGCTCAGGGAGGACAATGATGAATTGCGGAAGAAAACTAGACAACTTAGGGAGGAGCTGAGCAGAGACAGAGTGGCTCATGATCAACAGATTACTACTCTTGTGAAAGCCTTGACACCCTCCACCTCTCACCCCTTATCTTGGTCCTTTGCCCCTTGTCTTGTGTCTGTTTCTGGTTTGCTCAGTGGTGCTTTGTTCTTTTATTTTTCTTGTCTATCTCTGAGTAGTTTGCAGGATGTTTTAGTTTATTTTGTTTTAATATTTTAGTTCAAGGCCCTGAGCTTAATTTGGCACTGCTTAATGAACTCTCTTATGTTGTCTACATGCTTCTCACATAGTCTATATCATCAGCATAGTTCATTTATCTTGATGTTTCCTGTGCTTGTGTTCAAGCCTCAATGACCATGAATCTTGCATTAACTGTTGTGTAGCCTGTCTCACAGTTGTTTTTTGCGATGATGCCAAAAGGATAAGATAGAGTGGGGGGATGGGGGATGTACTTGTTCTGTAAGATGTGGAGATATTTGTTCAAAGTTTGTGTTGTTCACAATCTGCTAATGTTCTTAACTGTGATGTACTATGTATGCTTATGAATGTTATTACCTAGTTTATGAGCACAAAGTTTGTCATCATTAAAAAGAGAAAATCTGTTGAGAATTGGGATTTTGATGAATAACAATTGTGTCTAGTGAACGTGTACTAAGAACCAGGTCGTGAAGATACCTGCTGAAGGTGGCAGTAACTTTTACACAAATTTACTGTAGTCTGATATTGCTGGAAAGGACTCTTGATGCGATAAAGATTGTTGCCCAAGAATATCTGACTGCATAGTTGATGGAAAAGAGTCACAACATTTGGGGAGTCCTTAGAACTTAAGGATTATTGTAAAATGAGAGGTTGAATACGTGTAGGACTCCCAAAGATCTCGGAGTACTGGGAAGTTAAATACTTTCCCTATGGACTGTAAAGACCATCCTTTTGCATATCAGCTGAAGAACGACATATAACATTTCCCATTCAACACTCAAGTTGATCATTAGTGTGTTCTGAAAGTCAGTGTTCTTCTTGAGTCTGTTAGTTCATGTGTATTAGGAGATCGAGTAGTATTCAAGACGTCATTCAAAACATGTTAGTTGGAGTATTTATTTAAGTATGCAAGTTAGAGTAACTTGTAATTCATTCAAGAAGTAGAAGTAGGAGAAGTGTGTGGGTATTAGTTTACAAGTCTTGTAATCAGTACATTTGGCTTATTTGTTCTAGTGAAGTTGAAGTTAAACTCCTACGTAGTAGATCGTGATTTTTGCACCTTTGAGTTGGGGTATTTTTTCACGTAAAAATTATTGTTCTTGTTTTACTGTTTATTTCATTTACGCGTAAGGAGTAAGGTAAAGAATCAAGTTCTTTAGTAATTTAGGAAGGCACTCAATCTAATACTGGGCAACACATACTTCAGTCTATTGCACATCACCTTGGATATCACTTTGTGTATTGTATTACAACATGCAATTGGTCTGTAATCCCCTACTCTTTCCACATGTTTTTCTTTTGGGATCAGATTTATGATATTGTTGTTTAGGATTTTAAGAAGTTTACCATTAATAAAGAATTCCTTTACACACTCTGTCACATCCACATAGTTCTTTTTTGATAAAAGTTTGCAATTTTGTAGAGCCTTAAACCTCCAATTTTAAGTTTCACCGCATTAGCAATTCAATATTTGAAGCAGATTAATTCAAGAGCATTTGTCCACTTTGTTAATACTTTTATTCAAATCTAGATATGTCTTCTTCTTCCATTTTGCTCAAATCCTTTTTTCCCTCCACGATAGACATAACCTATATTAGGCTTGCATCCATGAAACGGCCTGCTAGTATTGCCACTCTTAATTACCTTCCAAACTAACTCTACTGCTTCACATCTTATTTCTCTTGTGACAACTAAATATAATTAAACTAGTAATTACGTCTGAACATTTTGTTTTTCTATTTTCTTATATAAATGTCTTTAAATTATAAATGTTAAAGTTATAATATTGGTCAAAAAACGTCAATTAGAGCAAGAGTCTTCTTTTTTTAGTCTCGGTGCAAGTTAAGCTAGGGATGCTAACATACACTGTCTATTGAAGAGATGACCCAACACCGCCAACAGGGCGACCGTCCGACGACACTGACGGAGACGATGGTAACATCGACAATCAAAATTCAACATAGGAGGATTCCACTGACATTTGGCAGCTTTCTCCCTTAGAAATTCCAATCAATCGAGGAGGAGAGTGAAATTGAGGCGAATTTTGAGATTACCAAACAGAAATCTCCTGTTAGGGGAGGTAAAAACGAGCAAGTGAAGAAGGAAATCCATGCACCTCACAAACTACAGTTCTCTTAAATTGGTACTGCTACACATCCAACACCTATGGAGGTGAGGGGCACAATAGAGATGAGTGATGGGCAGGTCAATAATCGTGGATCGCAAATGGGGAAACCTCTTACCTATGTTCCTCCATCGATGAGGGATGGTAAGTTGGTGGTTAAAATTGCCGCATAAGACATAAAATCCCAGGAGAAATTCTAAAATTCGGCCCTTATTGGATATGTGCTTGGTGATACACCATATGCCTGATCAATGGACAATTATGTAACAACGGTATGAAATTTTGTTACAAAGCCTAAGATATTGTATCATGATGAAGGGTACTATATTTTTAAGTTCCATACTATATAGGATAGAGATTTGGTTATGGATGTTGGCCTATATACATATCACAACAAACCTTTCATATTGAAGAATTGGGAAATAGATTTCTACTTTGATCTAGAATGCCTTAGCACCCTGCAGGCTTACCAGTGGGCTATTGGTTCCCTGAAGCTTTGAGAAAATTGGCTAGTGGAGTAGGCAAACCATTGTATACAGACAAATTCACTGTAGAATTGGAGAAGATCTCGTATGCTAAAGCATTGGTTGAAGCATATGTGTCTCAGCCCTTACCAGAGTGTATTGAAATTGATACACCATTTAGTTTTTTCAATAGCAAGTGGCATATGATTGGAGACCAAAGTTTTGTGTAGACTGCATAAAATTTGGGCATGACTCAGACAATTGCAGAAGGAATACTTCAAAGCATAAGGAAGAACCTTACCAGGAAGTGGCTAATAAAAAAGGAAAAGGAATAGGAAGAAATCCAAAACAAATGGACCAGTCTAGCAAGCAAAGATGCCAAGCACATAACAGGAAGTACAACTAGGAGGAACTGATTCAGGGACTAGTCAGGTTGAGGCACAACAACATGCCTCCCTGCCTTTAGAAGAAGCCTCTCATTATCAATAGAGTAGGTTAATGCAGAACAGTAAAGGGACAAAGGGCAAAGCCATAGCGGCACAAACTACTAAACATAGTGATCCTAATAGCGGAATGCATGATCCTATGATAATGTAGAATGCCAACAGATTTGCTTCCCTAAGAATTGATGAGCCTAGCACTACATGGGAAGGTCCCATATATGCACTGAGGGTGGTAAATCCTCTATGATTGTGTGAACTTAGAATATTAGAGGGCTGAACAAGCTCTCAAAACAGAAAGAGTTGAAGCTCATTCTGGCAAGACATAAAGTAGACATCATGGATTGTCTGGAAATCAGAGTTAAAGAAAGTAAAGCAACACAAATACTTCAGAAAGTAGCTAAAGGATGGAACTATTAATGTAATTACAACACAACAGTCAATGGCAGAATTTGGCTCTTATGGAGAGATCATATCACTATACAAATATTAGCAACAAAGGAACAATACATTCATTGCTCAGTAGAGGATGTCATTGGCCACTTTAGCACAGTACTCACTGTGGTATATGCAAAGAATACACCACAGCACAGGGAGGAATTGTGGGTTGAACTACAACAGGTTGGTGCACCTATAAGTGTACCATGGATTCTCTGTGGAGATTTCAACAATGTTCTCTCTACTGAGGATAGAATTGGGCAACCAGTTATATCTACAGAGATCTAAGGCTTCTAGGGACTACTTAATAGTTTGCAGCTGACTCCACTAAGATCAATTGGAAGGCATTTTATATGGTGTAATAAGTAACATGTTACCAGTAGAGTCTATAGTAAGATAGATTGGGCATTAGGCAATCTCCCTTGGCTACAACAATATGAGGATGTGGAGGTTGACTTTCTCAACCCAGGAGTATCTGATCACATCCCTATACTCCTGAGGCATGGACAATAGAGGAGATTACACCCAAAACCATTTAAATTGTTCACTAATGTAATGGAACAATCTGAGTTTCATGCAGTGTTACACAGGGCATGTAATCAGAATAAAGGTGTAAATGTTATGATTAGTAAATGTAGAAAGCTATATGATTTGAAGCATGAGCTAAAGGATTTGATTCATTATATGGCTTCATATGCACAAAGACTGAATCAAACTAGGCAAAAACTAGAGGTTGTACAAGCCACCATACTTACTCAACCTTTTTGTGTTTATTTGACCAGGAGAAGGAACTGCTTGCTGAGATTGATAAATGGAGTAACATTGAAGAACAAGCCCTAAGACAGAAATCCAGGGCAAGTTCGATTATGTGTGGTGACACTAACTCTAAGTACTTGCATGCGCAATGGAATATCAGACAAAGAAAAAATACAATCACATATGTATATACAGATGCAGGGATAAAACTCACAGACCCTACACAGGTGAAAACAGAGTTTATTACATTCTTCACAGGGCTAATGGAAAATTGCAGTGGTCACATTATATGTCCAAACTCAGAAGTTATAAAAAAAAGGACCGTGCTTGAGTATGGAACAGAAAAGTGCATTGATACAACCAATGACAAAGCTCCAGAGATTGATGGATATCCTATAGAGTTTTTCACCAAAAACTGGGACCTAATGAAGAAGGAAGTTTATGTTGCAGTGCAAAGCTTCTTTGAAATAGGAAAACTTTTGAGAAAGGTGAATTGCACAACTATTATACTGATTCCTAAAGTTAGCTCACCATCTCAGGCCAAAGACTATAGATCTATTGCTTGTTGTAATACCTTTCACAAGATTATTTTCAAGGTTTTACAACTAAGAATCAAAAAGGTGATTGGTAATCTAATTAGGCACTCACAGTCTGCTTTTATAGAAGGAAGAAGTATCATTGACAATATACTCTACAACTATGAGTTGTTCAAAGGGTACAATAGAAAAGGTGTCTCTCCTAGATGTGTTATGAAAGTAGACTTAAGAAATGCCTATGATACTATAGACTGGAGGTTTTTGAGAAGAATGCTCAATGATCTTGGGTTCCATTTAAAATTCATTGAATGGATTATGGAATGTGTTGCCACTGTCTCATACCCCTTAGTGCTAAATGGAAGACTTACAAAACTATTTCTGATTAGACAAGGGGATCCCATGTCCCCATACCTCTTTATCATTGCTATGGAGAACCTGCAAAGAGAAGTGATGCAATTGGCAGAGAATGGTGATTTCAATTTCCATCCTAGATGCAGGAAGTTGGGCATCATCCATATATGTTTTTCCTGATGATTTGCTCATGTTCTGTAGAGCAGACATTGAATCCATCAAACTCCTTCGGGGCGCTTTTCATAGGTTTTCTGCAGCTTTTGGGCTACAAGCTAACACTGATAAAATCTCTATTTACCTAGTTGGGGTGGATGCATATGAAAGACAGGCTATCATGAAGCTACTGGGGTTTGAATAATGTACTACGGGAGTGCCATTGTCATCTAAAAAGTTAACTGTACATCAATGCCTACACCTAATTGAGAAGATCACAGGAAGAATCAATTGTTGGTCTGCCAGGCTGCTTTCTTACTCTAGTATATTATAACTGATCAAGTCAGTATTGTTTGGTATTCAGACCTACTGGGCACAAATATTCCTCCTCCCCAAGAAGGTTATGAAGATGATTGAAACAGTGTGCAAATCATTCTTGTGGATTGGTGTGGCATCCATCACAAAAAAGCACTGGTATCCTGAGAAAATATTTGTATGCCTCAAACTGCTAGTGACCTAAATGTCATAAGTCTGTGCATTTAGAACAAAGTTGTTGTACTCAAACAGTTATGGGATGTTGTAATGAAAAAAATACTATTTGTGGATAAAATAGGTACATAATTTCTACATAAAAAATAGAACTTGAGCACATGCCTACACTTAAGGCTGCAACTTGGGTGATCAGGAAAATCTTAGAGACAAGAGAGACCCTGAAGAGTCAATCCACGCATGGCTCCTTGATTGATAGACTGAAGATATTGCTGGTGCAAGAGCAATTTTCGATTAAGCAAGCCTACCTCATGCTGATGCCCCGGTATCAAAAGGTCCCTTAGAAGAACATAGTCTTGTAGACAAGCATCCATCCTAAATTCAAATTTATCCTATGACTGGTTGCACATAAAAGACTAGCCATAGTGGACAAACTATACAAAATTGGTGTGCAGGTGCCTCATGATTGTGCATTCTGCAAATCAAGTACTGAACAATAGAGCATCTATTCTTTGAATGCTCAGTAACAAAGAGAGTGTGGAGCAGACTACTGGTTTGGTTAGGCATGGGAAGGAACATAGCTAGTTGGAAAGAGGAGCTCAGCTGGGCATGTCGCATGGCTAGAAAGAAGACAGGGCATAGGATCATTGCTAGCTATGTGTTTGCTATGCTAGTTTACAATATATGGAGGGAAAGAAACATGATTAGATTCCAGCAAGGCACTTTTGAGGAGCACATAATCTGCAGAAAGATTGTCCTTTATGTGCACACTAGAGGCAGAAGATATCCATCCTCGCAGCACACATTACACAGCTTAGATCGATTTCCTTAGTGTTCTTTATATGTAATGTAGTGTACATCTTCTGTATCTAGTCTTATGAGCAATTCCTAGATGTGTAATAGACATGGATAAAAACTTGTAATCTAGGATTAAACTTATATTCAGGAAAGTAGTTGGTCAGCAACTACTTGGCATTGTACAAATATGCTTTTGATTAATACAATTTTGACTTTAATCAATTTTTTTTTTATAATATTAGCCAGCCAACATAAAGAATGTTATTTCAAATAGTTAAGTATTGAAACTTATCACTTTAATGCTTTCACATAAGGAATTCACATAACGAGATTTAAGAAAAATACTAGTGAGAAGTGTTACGTCTAGGTAGGGGTGTATAACGAAAACCGACAAATTCCATCAAAATCGATAATCCGAGTCAAACCGAAAAAATAATTCGACTATAATTTTGTTTGATTTGGTTTGAGGTTGAAAAAAATCAATCATAATTGGTTTGATTTGGTTATAACTAAACAAAGTCAAAACGAAACCAAACCCGATATTATATGTATACAAGTTTTAAAAATATTTTATACATAAAAATATTTATTATAACATTAATTATAAATATTTTTTAAACTTTTTCATAGTTCTCTCTTTTAACATGTTATTTCTAGTTTGAACTTAGAATTATTGAATGATCCAATATGTTTTATTGTTCATAAATATTTGTAACTCAAATAAAGCCCAAACTAAAACCAAATCAATACTAATACTAACAAAGGAAATTCAATTCAATACTAAAATGACGATAGTATTGGATATTTATTTTTTTAGTTTTGTATTGGTTTAAATAGTGAAAAGGTATAACTTTTTTTTTAATTGTTTAATCATGTAGTTAATGATTTTTAGTTTTTTTTATTAGTTGTACTTATTGTAACATGACTTAATACTTTTAGATTCTGTTTATTTTCATTATGGCTTTATGCAATTTCATTATATTTGTTGTTGAATATTTTATTACAATGTCACAACTCATCTCACATTTTTTATGTATTATTTTCTCGGAAAACACCTTATATAGTTGTATACTACTTAGTACTTTTAGATTATGCTCATTTTTATTATGGTTTATTAATTAATAATATTTATTTTTATGCAATTTCATTATCTTTATTGTTAAATATTTTAGTACAATATCATGACTCATCTCACATTATTTGTGTAATTTTCTTGGGTAACACCTTATATAGTTGTATCCTACGAAAACTAAAAAAAATATTTGGAGCACAAGTTACATGTTTTGTGCTATGAAAATTTTACGAGGAAAAAAAATAGAAAACCCCGAGAAAACAAAAAAAACGAGATTGAAAAACCCGACTTTTGTTGGTTTGGTTTGGTTTAGTTTATATATTTAAAAATTCGACACAATTGATTTGGTTTGGTAATTGAAAAATTCGAACCAACCCGACCTATATAAAACCCTACCTCTAGTATTTGAATATGAGATCTAAAACAAATTTTGAACCATTTTCACAATCACACTAACTAGCATAAGTGTATTCTACAATTTTTCGGCGAAGAAAATCCGACGCTTTAGCTCGACTGGTTTCACATTTTAATTATTCTGCATGAACGGAAAACCGGCTCCTTAACGTAAACAAGTTTCGTGTAAAATCAAGCATCAGTGGGTTTTTCCCCCTATTCAAACCTATCATTTAAAGTTTTAACAAAAATGAGAGGTGTCGGTGAACGGTGATTCATGTCTAGGTAGAGAACACATTAGTCTTATATCATAATAAAATGTGATAGGTGAGAGAAACTTCTCCAATTTGGCACATGCAAGGGTCCCAATTTCTCTTTCATTCCGATTCAAACATTTGTCGGTGAATACTATATCATTTAACCATCCAATTAATTAATATTTCAATAATCACACCCATATGACTTTAAGGTAGAGATCACATTAGTCTTATCATAATAAAATAAAATGTTCTTAGTCTTTTATAAGCACATCAATAATAGTGAAGTCACCCTAAAAGGGAATAATAAAAAAAATGGTCCTCTTCCTCACTCTAAGCTGGGATGAACTATTTTATTATTCTTTCTTTCTCTTCTAAATTATTTGGTAACTTGTTTTTTGGTTATCCGTTAGACTAAAATTTGACTGAAATTGGTCAATGATTCACTCATCTTCCGGTACACGATTCAGAATTTCAGATATCACATCCTTAAAAGTATTGTACGCTCGTAGCACTTTAGATTTAAAAAGTTAAGGATCCGTTTATCCGTAGATAATTTTTTCTTTTGTTCGATTTTTAAAAAAAAAAAACGTGTTTGTCCATAAAATTTTGCAAGTTTTTGGAAATGATTTTTTTCAAAAACTACTTTTTCAAAATTTTCAGAAATTTTTGTTTCCCCACTCACAAAATTGTAATATTTTTTCAAGCGAAATGTATGTCTAAACACAATTTCAAATTTCAAAAAAATTATAATTTTTATGTCCACACGCCTACTAAGTATGAATTTAAATTTGTTTTTGATAAAAGTCTAATTAAGAGCATGTTAAGACATATGTTTTTCATAACTTCATTTTACATTGAATTGTATTATATTGTTAAAATAATATTTGTATAGACTGTATTATTTGTTGTACTTCAATAACATATTTTGTGTTTAATTTGATTGTAGCATAATGCATGATAACTGATAGACTTATTAAAATACCTTTAATTACTGTGAAGATTAAAATGATCAAACTCAAAAACCAAAAACTAAAAAACAAAAAAGATAACAAGAAAGTGACGAGAAACATGTATAGTGAGTGACAGTAAGAGTATACGAAAAGGAAGGGCTTAAATATGATGAAGACAAATTAAGGTAACGAGGTGATGTAAAAAAGAAAAAAGTTCGGTAAATAGTACATGAAGTTATTAAACAATAATAAGGATAAAATGGAAAATAGAAATAATATAACAATTCCACCGCACCAAGCTCGTTTTTATATATAAAATAAGTCATTCATTGTTATAAGTCGTAATAATAGATTTAATTGACAATATAATACAATAATAAGTAATAATAAAAATAAATATTATAAAACTATTCAACTTCTGTATGTTTAATACAAGTACAGAATTCAAACAACTAGTAAGTATTTTGAGTTATTGTTCTTAAATATCACGGAGTAGTCCTCACTATTTGGATAGTTCAAAACTTAGACAAAATATGGAAGACCTTTTTTTGTCTTAATAAACAAAAGAACCATGCGGGGGTTAGGCATAGGGGCGGGCATATTTTGGTCCGAACTGAAAAAACCGACCGAATCGAAAATAATTTTATTTTGTTTTCGGTTATTCGATTTTTTCGATCGGTTTCGGTTTAAAATTTTAAAATTCCAGTTTTTCGGTTCGGTTTTCGGTTATTAGTTTATTTGGTTCGGTTAACCGAAAAATCGAATTATTAGCAAACCAACAAATTTTCGGTTGGTTTCAGTCAAATTTACCGAAATTTTGAAAGAAAACCAACAAATTCGTCAGTCCAATTATTACACAGAGAGAACCCAATATGATAATGTTCAAATCGAAAACCGAACCGAAATAAACCGAACCGAATTTCTTAAACCGAACTGAACCGAACTTATTTCAGTTCGATTTCGATTACTACTTTTATAAAACTGAAAACCAAATAAACGAATCGAATTTTTTAAAATCGAACCGAACCGACTAAACGCCCACCCCTAATTAGGCATAGACCCCAATCCGTACATAATCAAAAAGGATAAGTACAATGTGGAAGACCCAAATATGCAAAAGATTGGGGAACATTCTCTGTTGTCCGGAAAGAGTTAATTTGCACCAGTGAACAACTAGGTTGTTTTCTTTTTCTTCATAGAAATATATGAAACTATTTACTTTTCGTTTTATTTTATGTAGCAC